GGCGTCCCTTCACCTTGCAGGTGCTTCTCGAGGGGACGGGGATCGGGCAGTAGCCTGGAGAACAGCGCACGCAGCCTCGCACTGGCCCAGACGCCCAGGGACAGAGGAGTGAGTGGCTTGATGCTAACTGGGTGACCCAGGCGGGGCACCGAACTGCCGTGTGTTCAGCCCATCAGCCCTGTCACCAAGCCCTACCCACGGGACACTGAGAGTGCTCCAGGCCCCAGGCACCCGGGCACGCTCCCGGAGCCACCAGCTGGAATGCATAGCTAAGCAGGAGGGCAGTATCACTGACTAGGGCCGGGGACATGGGACAGAGAGACTGACTGTGCTCTGGGGACGGCAGAGGTTCCAGAGGGGGGCAGAGTTCCTAGGTTCAGGGAGGGGTAGAGAGGGAGGCCCCAGAGCTGAAGCTGTGCACACATTCCAGGGGCCCAAATGTGGGCTGGCCAGAAGGGAGCCTGGGGGCAAGCCGGCAGCCAGGGCTGAGGGTCCCAGGCCGGACCAGCTGAGCTGTGGGGAAACCTCCAGAAGCAAATTGAGGCCGCGGATGGGAGCTGAGCTGATGGTGGCTGTAGGAAGGTCAGGGAAGAGGAACATCCGGAAGGCACAGGCAGGAGAACCCAAGTGTGTGAGGACCTCTGGCTTTAGGACTTCATAATGAACAAGGCTCTGGTTTGTGTTGGGACAGCTGGAAGGGCTGTGACCCAAGGCATCCTGCCCGCCCTTCCAGGACGTCTGAGGTGGGCTGGGGGCTCGCCCTCAGGGGCCCACGCCCGGGATCCGCCGCTCTCAGTGACCTCGGCCAGAGGCCACGCTGGTGTTCCTGAGTCAGACGGCAGAGGGCGCCCCAAGGCCTCCTAACAGGAGCCTCTGCTGCGCTCGCTGGCAGGACATGCCCTAGGCTCCACCTGGTTCAGGTGAAGACGGGACAGAACAGGAGGCTCCCAAGCCAGCCACCTGGCTTGCTCCCCGCCAACACTGCTGGCAGAGGCCGCAGCGCCCTTTAGCCGAGTTAGCCTGGAGGCAGACCTCGTCCACGGTGCCCTCCAAGGCCCCTCTTGTGCGAGCAGAACTCACTACAGGCAGGTGGGACTTTTGGAGGGCTCCGATGCAGCCACAGGGAGAATCCTGTGCAGGGCAAGGGCCGGGGCTGGGCGAGCAGGGGACCCAGGCCCCACCTGGACCCGGTATAGTAGCATCCTGCTTTTGGAGACCGGGGGCTGAAATCCTGGCTACTGAGCAGCTCTGCAGGTGGTTCTGATGTGCGGTCAGGGTTAAGAACCTCTGCTTTAGACAGTGACTCGCACAGCCTGGCCCTGAACCTGCTTAGCACCCTCGGTAACATGGCAGATGTGCAGAGTCCCAGGCCTGGCCCCGAGCTGTGAGGCAGGACTCTGAGAAGCGGGGCCCAGCCATCTGCTAACATGTACAGGCGATTCTGAACTCCCAGGTCGAGAACCTGCTCACGCCTCGAGACCCTACATGTGCTCTGGGGGCCAGCAGCATGGGCATCTCTCCAGAGCGTCTTAGGAATGCAGATTCCTGGGATCTCCCCCAACCTGCTGAATCAGCACCTGCATTTAACAGGATCCCTGGGCCATCTGTGTGTCATGTGAGGACTGTTGCTCTAGGGACCCCACTGAGCAACAGCAATACGCCAATCGAGGCTGGCTGTGCAGAGCCCCAATGAGAGGCACTGTGGGAGGGCGGCTGGGTGAGGGGGGAAGGGGCCCTTGTCTGGGGGCAGAGGAGTTGGCCTCCAAGGTGGGGCCTTCCAGGTGGGGCCCTCCAGGTGGGGTCCTCCAGGTGGAGTTCTCCAGGTGGGGCCCTTCAGGTGGGATCCCTCCAGGTGGGGCCCTCCATGTGGGGTTCTCCAGGTGAGTCCAGGGAAGGTCTGTGTGCAGGCCAGCAAGGGAGAGTGGCTTGAAGTACTCAGGAAGAGAGAAAAGGTGTGGGGTGGACGTGGGGAAGACCTGAGTGGTTGACCCAGGACAGTGGATCAGGATGCTAAGTAACACAGAGTTTTGGTGGTGGTTTTCAAAGTTTCCCCCCTTCATAAAAGAAATAAATTAAGGAAAATATGTATATCCAGAAAGAAGAAAAAAAAACCACACCCATAGCTCTGCCACCCAACAGCATCACTGCTCATTACTTGTACGTTGTTTTTTCTAGATTTTATTTATTTATTTGAGAGAGAGAGCACAGAGGCAGAGGGAGAAGCAGGCTCCCCGCTGAGCAGAGAGCCTTACACGGGACTCAATCCCAGGACCCTTAGGATCGTGACCTCAGCCAAAGGCAGATGTTTATTCTACGTAGGTATTTTTTTATTATTAAGAAAATAGTTATAAAGATACAGTACATGTGACTTTATTTCCTTTTTCCTAACATTATAGGAATGATTAATTGCACATCATCTTTGGACACGGAGCTGTAGGTGATGGACAATGAGCCATTGCCCTCTGTTGTGGAGATGAACAGCAGCAGGTCCGTCCAGCAGGTCCTCACTGCTGTCCATGCGCTGTCCAGTTCTGCAAGGCTGCCGCCGAACACGGTGGTCTCAGCCCCCACAGACACGCGGGCCACGCAGAGGGCAGGGTGTTTCCCACTCTCCCACCAACCTTCACGTCCTCAGCCCCCCACGCAGTATCAGGTCTGGCTCTACAATAGCCCTGGGTCCCCCAGCACCCCTAGGGGCCGTGTTGGGCAGAAGGCTGGAGCCAGAAGTGGGCCCAGGGGGTGAGGTTTAGGATGGACTCAGGAATCGGTTCTCTGGCCTGCTGTGCAGTCCGTGGAGCCAAGGGGCTGCAGAAGGCCAGGCTCCGGGTGACCAGGCGGCTGATGCCACAGACCACTTAGTGGAAATAAACAGTAAGGGCTGTGGGGTTTGTTGGTAGTTTCGAAGTGTGCCAGAAAACGAAGAAAATTATGAGTGCAGAGCTTAAAATTCCCAGCTCAGGGGGAAGATAAAGAACCAAAAATCTTCTGTGTTGTGCAGAAGAGGGTCAACAAGGAGGCCCCACTGCCCCCCTGGGTGGCCCTCAGCAGGCGTTCCCAGGATAGTTCCCGGCACCCTCATGGATGAGAGGACCTCGCTGCCCCTGCACCTCTGTGCAGTGTGGTTCACGCTGAGCACCCGCTTCCTCCTGGGTGCCCTGAATCGACAGCAGGCAGGGGTGCCCCGGGCCCAGCCCCCAATAAAAACCCTGGGCTCTGCGTCTCTCCCGGGCTCCCCTGAAGACAGCACCTCACGCCTGGTGGGCTGTGCAGAGCCCCAATGAGAGGCACTGTGGGACACACCACACGACCTCTGCTGAGTCTGGGGGGCCCTAGTGAGTCACCGAGCCGGGTGGTCCTGGGGACACTGACACAGCTGCCCTAAAAGAATTCGTTATTTCTTGCGGGCACCGAGTCCAGATTTCTGAAAATAAAACCCAAGGTCTAATCTGGTGGGTGGTTGCATCACAAGACAAGTTGAGTTTCTGGGCTCTTGAGCCATTTCTTATGAAGGGTAGGGTATCGTTGGGCACGAAGGGGTCTCGTCACTTGGATGGAGACATGTGGGGAGATTCTGGAGAAGGTGGGGACCTGAGCCCCTAAATTCTCCAGGAAGTGCCCTTCCTCTGCCTCTGGCGGGTTAGTCCCCCTTCCTGGAGAACCTGTAGTCCCCCCAGAGTAGTTGTCTGTGGGGGGCTGCTGATTCTCCTCCGGACCCCGCCCCCACCTGTGACTCTTGTTTCCAGGTCTGTGACCAGACCCTGAGGCACAGCTATGACTGAGAAGGTGAGGCATGCAGTGTGCCCTGGGAGGCTCCACATATGACCACTGGTGTCACCCGAAGCCCAGGGAACATATTGGGGTGGCTCAGGTGGAGATGGTACGAAGTGCTGGCCTGGGCCCACTTGGCAGAGACTCTGGATTCGCAGGGTGACGAGGAGTGGCTCTAACCATTTGTGTTTGTGCAAAACTTGTCCATGCACGAGGCTGAGATGCCAGCTCTTTCAGTCCCCAGTCCAGGCAGGCGCCCAAAGGCTTGGGGAGACCAGGTGTGTGTTGTTTGACCTGCTCTCCGCCACTCAGCACCGCAGCTGGATTCAGTGGGTAGGGCCACGAGGCGTGGCTGCCATCTTCAGCTGCAGCCCTGAGGTTTAATCAGAGCTGATCCACAGAGCCCCGAAGGTGTCGTGTCGTCCATGGCATCCCTGTGGCTGGGACGGCTGCCTTCCCGACGACATGCTTAATCACTGCACACAAGCAGGGAAGCTCTGGTCTGCAGGTGTGCAGTGGGGCTGGATACCCACACTTCCTGCATGGCCTCTGCCCAGTGGTGTCCTGTCTGCAGGGGTGCTGATCCGTGGCTGCTTGTGGCTCCCTGACGGCCCCCCAGAGGCAGCTCTGCAATTACCTTGTTCCTGGAAGGGGGCATCTCTGCCCCAATGTCAGCCTTAGAATGTCTTTCTCTCCCGGTGCAGAGGAAATTGTGTTTATTTCGAGCACTGGTGTTGAATTCAGTCCTAAAATTCCCGGTCGTGCCCTGTGCAGAAGTGTTTTCCTCCCAGTTTGCTCCTTGGATCGTTCAAGGTCCTACAGCCGGCAAGAAGCCCTCAGTCCTCGGGCCGGAGATAAAAGATTCAGTTGGACGGCTCAGGAAGGTGACGTCCGCCTCCTTGCCCCCCGCCGTTTATAAAGAGGAGCCTGCAGCAGAGGCCCATCCCAGCTGCACCGGCTGAGCACCCGGAGTGCGAGGCAACCTCTGGAGGGGCAGACGCGGGGTCGCGGCCTCCAATTAGGAACTGCCAGCTGACAGGTGAAATGGAAACTGCTCTGAAAACCCTGGGAGCTTGTCTGGTTACCAGGGCTGTTTTCCAGGGAGTTGCTGGGGGGGGGGGGGGGCGGGAAGAGGCTGGGGCCCTGATGGAGGGCTGGCCCCACCCCCTGGGTGCCTCCCGCTGCAGGTGGACCGGAGCTTCATCAGCTGGTGGAGCGCCTGCCTGGGGGAGATGAAGGCCTGCTTGGCGCTAGGGCTGGCCTTCTGCCTCCTGCTGGGACCTCTGGCAGGTGAGTGGTGGCTCTGTCCCTCCTGCTGTCTCCCTGGCTGCGGAGGCAGCTGGTGTGTAGGGCTGTGCGGCGGGCGGCGGGGTGTCCTGCCTTGGGGGGCTCTCCAGAGTGACTGCCCTCCTCTTCCTCTGCAGGGGCCAAGCCAGTGCAGGAGGAGGGAGGTACTGTATTACCCTCTTATTCTTTTCTTGTGTGTTTGGGTGGGATGGGGTCGGAAGAGGGACCCGGGTGGGAGCTGGCTTCTTATCCTGAGCAAACGGAGCAGGAACCCTGGGTCAGCTCAAGGACAGGCTATGCAAGCAGAGGGACACGAGCCTCTTCCCTGGGCCCTGACCTCCAGCCACCTGGGGACACGCAGGGCAGGAGGGACTCTCTGAGCCCCGAGGCTTGGCATTCTCCCCCTCAGCCTGGACTCACCCCACGGCCCTCCCACCCCAGTCCTACCTCAGTGCAGTGGCGTCCGGACTCCGGGGCTGGGGGCTGTGGTCTCCCCTGGAACCCCAGCAGGATGCCCCCACACCCTCACCATGGTGTTCCCTCCCTGCCCAGCATCTCCAGGACAGGGGCCAGATTTCCCCTTCCCTCCCCCTTCCCGCTCCCCCCCTTCTTTTCCTCTCCCTGAGCTGTCCCCCCAGACCAGGAGTCCTGAGAGGGTCATCACCCAGATGACAAGGCTCCGGGATACTTTCACGGAGGACCAGGGGTGTCCCAGGTCCCGGCTCCCAGCTGGGAGGGCCCCTTTACCGCCCACCGCCGCTGCGCTGCTGGGCACCATCCACCTGCCCTGCGGCATCACGGAGGGGCAGCTTCAGGGCAGGACCGGTGGGGACAGCACCTGAGGCCGGGGGTGGTGTCTTTCAGGCCCCTATGCCGAGCTGCCCGCCATGCCCTACTGGCCTTTCTCCACCTCTGACTTCTGGAACTACGTGCAGTACTTCCAGACCCTGGGGGCCTACCCCCAGCTTGAGGATATGGCCCGCACCTTCTTCGCTCACTTCCCCCTGGGGACCACGCTGGGCTTCCATGTCCCCTACCAGCAGGACTGAGCGCCAGCCTGGATCCCTAGCCTCGTGCTCAATAAATTCCTGACTTAAGACGCACAAATGCTTCTGGCTTTCTTTCAAGAAAGCCCCAGTCAGGCCACGTTTCCTTTCTTATTTGACAAATGAACCACACTCTTTCTCACTCAGGGCCTGCTGTAAGTGTCACGCTCTTACCTAAGCTCACAGCCCCCCGGGAGGGCGGTGCTGTAGGTGCCCCGGAGTGCAGGGGGGAAACTGAGGCAAACAGACACCAGGGCACTGCCTGACTCATTGACGGGACCCAGATCCAGGCAGCCACACCCCAAAGCCCCTGCCCTCAGCCACGGAGGCCGGCAGTAGCCGGACCCCCAGCGGCCACCCCTGGGCTGGGGGCCCTGCCTGTCCCCCCTCCCTACAGTGTACTCCTGAGGGCCGTTCACACCAGCGCAGCAGGAACCCAGCCTGTGAGGAAGGGCCAGGGCCTGGGTGCTCTGGAGGGAGGGAGGGCCCAGCAGGCCATTTCCACGGTGTCTCGGGGACCATCCTGTGGCACTGGGCCAGCTACTGCACAGGTGGTGAGCCCCCACAGGCAAGCACACAAGCTTACAAGCTGCAGACCCTGCTGGTCACCTTCCATCGGATGAGAGGAAATTGCTCCAATGGGCTACAGCCAGCTTTTCTTTTAAAATAAAATAATGGGAAACAGTGTGTATTTAAATACAGGTGGCGAAGAAACTCCCCTGGGACAGGGCACAGCCACGCAGCCGGGTGGGGAGGGTGCTGGGGGGTGGGAGGTGCCCAGGACAGCAGGACGGCCTCCGGCGGTCGTCCCTCCCACTCCAGCCGTGCTTCCTGCCACCACTGCCGGTGTCCCCCGGGGACATTCTGCAGAGGAGGCCTAGCCGGTGGCTTTAGGAAAAGCCACTAACTTCTTCATCTCTTTCTTTCCCCACCTTGAGCTAGTGTGAATTTGGCTTCTGTAAACTAACCTCAACAGCACAAAAGTCCGGATTCACAGGATAGCCAGGCGAGAGGATGGGTCTTGAAGTCCCCACTGGGGACAGCTGGACTCGACCAAACATACCAGGCAAAAGACACGCTTTACAGCGGGATTTCCGTGTTGTTCACTAGCGTGTCAATTCGAGTGTGTGCACGGTCTTATTCCCCTCAGATTGTCATGCTGCCAGTTAGGGCGCTCGTTCAAGAACCACAGCTCTACTCCCCTGTCGGCAGGCTGCTCCGGAGGAGCAAAGTCCAGGCTTGTTCCAGGGAAAACATGTGGTGCCCTGGCCGGACCCCTTCCTCGGGCTCGGGTATCAGCAGCCCACAGCTGCCCCGGGGACGCCCAGCTGCATTTACGTTCTTAAAAGGCCTCACTTCTGTCTTCTTCTCAGAGGAAGAACCCCCACCTGGGGCCACCCTCGGCCAACCCCCTACCTGCTGGGCTCGCAGCCCCTGGGGCATTCCGCTCCTGGTCAGGACTCAGATCTGGCTGCGGGCCTCCCTGCTCACCTCAGCACCCAACAGGCTCAGTTCTCCTCTGTGCACCCCCTCCTGACTCCCCCCCACTGCAGGCAGACCTCGTGGGGGACCCTCCACTTCCTGCCTCATGCCCTCAGCCCCTCACCACCAACGCTGCACCACTGAGCTCCTCACCAGGAGCAAGCCCCACCTATGGCCACTGCCTCCTCATTCCTGCCACGGTGGCTGGGAATGGGGCTCCCGTGATTTGAAACCACTCAGAAGAGAAGCCTGTTGGTGGCCAGAGTAGTGGCTTCCCTGGTCTGACTTTCGCTCGGGTGCTTCAGGGTGATTCATGTCACCGTGACACCTGAGGCTCACCCACACCCCCAGCCTTTCCTCCCCTCTCCCTGAGCCCTGCACTGCCCACAGGGGTCACTGTCCCCCTCAATCTGGGCTCATTCCCTGTCTCCCTGCCCTGCCCCCCCCCTACTTCGCTCACAACCCAGCCTCCAAGCCTACCTACTTCCACAAGTCTAGCTCAAGGGTCTCATGCTCTCCCTCCCTCCCCCCTTCCTTCCTTCTCCTTCCCTCCTAACCCCTTCTCTCATTCACATACTTGTAAAAAATTATGATAAAATACATATAACATAAAATTTACTGCTGTAACTATTTCTAAGTGGCACCAAGCACATTCACACTGTTGTGCAGCCGTCACCTCTAGAACTTTCTCATTTCCCCCAACTGGATCTCCGTGCCCATGAAACACAGACTCCCCATCGGTCCCCAGCCCCTGGCGCCCCGCCCTTCTGCTCTCTGTCTCTGTGAATCTGACCACTGTAGGGAACTCGTGTCAGCGGGGTCATACAGGATGTGTGTGACAGCTCATTTCACTCAGCATAACGTCCTCATGCTTCATCCATGTTGTAGCATCTGTCAGAATTACCCTCCTTTTGCGGCTGGATGGTGTTCCCTTTTATGTACCTATAGAACACATCTTGCTCATCCATTCAGCTGTCCGCGAACACGGGGTGTTTCTACACTTTTAGCTCTTGGGGATAACAGTGCTCTGAGCACGGAGGTGCAAATATCTCTTGAAGACCCTGCTTCCACTCCCTCTGGGTTTTTATATAGCACCTGTTCTAAGGGGTGTGAAGGTGGTTTTGATTTGCATTTCCCGAATGCTTAGTGGTGTTGAGCATGTTTTCATGTGTCTCTTGGCCATTTGTATATCTCCTGCAGAGAAAGGTGTATTCAAGTCACTGCATTTGGATGGGGATTTGTTGTTGTTGAGTTTTAGGAGTTCTCTCTCTAGTCTGGATATTAACCCTTTAGTGAGTGTGTATCTATAGATATGTATATGTGTGTGTAATTTGCAAATATTTCCTCCCATTCTGTGGGTGGCCTTTTTACTCCGTGGACCATTCACATTCTTTTTTGTAAAGTACAGTTGACCTACAGTATCCTATTAGTTTCCGGTGTACAACACAGTGATTTGACAATTGCACACCATCTGTCCCGGTACAAAGTTATTACATTGTCATCGGCCATAGTCTGCGGGCTGTACTCTTCATCCTCCAGACTGTTTTATTTTATTATCTTTTTTTCCGGAGACATTCACTTTACAGCTGGAAGTCTGTACCTCCTTATCCCGCTCCCCTATATGGCCTGCCCCCCACCCCGCCGCTGCGGCAACCACCAGGCTTTCTGCCCACGCGCATTCCGTAACGGGCATCTCTTGGGCCCCTCTGCCTGCCAGGCCTTTCGGGCCGAACTGTCTGTGGCCGCCGGTCACCCCCGAGTCCCTGCGCAGCTTCCCCGGAGCGCTGACGGGCTGGCGGGAGACCGGGACCCGCCGGACCCCAAGCGCCAGGGGAACCATAGAGTCGGAGGTCCTCCGGCGTCTAGACACGCCACGGCCGGGCGCGCACCGGAAGAGGCGTCCGGCGGGCCGGAAGTGGGCCGGGGAGGCGGCAGACGCCGCGGGCGAGATGAAGCCGGCAGTGGACGAGATGTTCCCTGAGGGCGCCGGGCCCTACGTGGACCTGGACGAGGTGAGGAGGCCCGCGGCGGGCGAGGGAAGGCGGCGGCCGGGCGAGTCCGGGGCGCCCTGCCGGCCGCGGGCCTGGGGCTCCCCGCCTCACGGCCACAGCCCACCTCGGGCCCGGGACGTCGCCGCCGGGGAGCGCGACGGTGCTCGGCGACGAGGGGAGGAGGGTGGGCCTTGCCGCGGACCGCGCGCTGCCAGCGTCCTGAAATACGCCTTACGCGGAGGGAGGCACGGCCGGAGCGAGGCTGGAAGCTCGCCGGCCCAGGGAGCCAGGGAGCTGGGCGCTGGGGGCCGTGTCTGGCGGGGGCGTGCTCTGCCCGGTGACCCCGGCCTCGGGCGGTCGTGCAGGGTTGGCCGGGGGTCTCGCGGTTTTCGTCACTGCGTCGTGGCCGCTGCTGGTGTTCTCTGAGCCGTTGGCACCCGCGCCGCTGCGGGTGTCGGGGCTTCGTTTTCTCTTTCCCAAAGCCTGGGGGGCAGACCTCGTGGCTTGCTCCCTGGGATGGCGTGTGACGGGCAGAGGCGCCCTGCAAACACCGCGCGTGCACGGAAAGCTGGAGGTGCCCGATGGACGCACCCTCCCGCCTCGGGGTGGCCCAGCACGGGCCTGGGAGGGAGGGCCCCTGGCGGTGGGCGACGCCGAGGGGCATGTGCTGGTGTTTGCTGAGGGGACAGGCTGGAGGAGGAAGGCCTGGGGGGAGCGGAGTCCTGGAGGGAGGGGCAGGTCCCGCGGTTGCAGGCGGGCTGCCGGATGCCCGCGCCTGCGGAGAGAGCAGCTGCAAGAGGCGGCCCGTGGCTGTGCCGGGGCGGGTGGTGTCGGCACCCGACCCCCGAAGCGGGCAAACCCGGCTTCTCCGTGCTCTGTTAGCGTCTGCGGCGTGGAGGCACTGGACGGCAGCGCGGCGGGGGCCGAGAGGCTTCCTGGCCGGTCACTGGAGAGTCTGGGGGTCAGGCTTGGAGGTGAGGGAGCGGACACCGCTCGCGGGGGGCGAGAGGAGGCTCTGGATGAGGGGAGCGCCCGCGGGTGGACGCAGGGCCGACTGAACATAGCGGCGAGTGGCGCGTCTGCATGGCCTCGCCCTGGGCACGGGGACGGGCGGCGGCTCGAGGAGAGCGGAGAGGAGTCAGAACCCTGGGCTTTTCGCTCAGCTTTGGGCTACTGAGGCAGCCACGGAAAGGAACATGGGAGACGCTCAGCTACTCCAGAGCCAGGAGAGGTCAGGGGTCAGGGCAGCGGCAGGGACCTGTGGGCGGAGGACTCTGCTCTGACCGTGCCTGTGTCTTGACCGCGTCAGACTGCCCGGCTTTGGTTGTCGCGTAGTTTTACTGCCACCATTAGCTGTGGCAGTGGGAGGCGCTGTGACGACACCCTCACCGGAGCCCCAGGTCAGTAGGTCAGTTTCCCAAGGAAAATGGTGTGATTCTCAGAAGCAGCAGGGGACATTCCAGAGCAGAGAAGTCACTGGCACAGTTTTACACGCGTTTGGGGCCTCTGTAGCAGCGTCTTACAGGGAATTAGAACCTCGCCCAAGGCTTACAGAGAAGTGGTGTTCACGGCAAC